TGGTCCTGGGCCAGCAGGAGCCAGCCGGGCACCGGGCACAGGGAGGGGGTCAGTGGTATGGACGGCCGGACTGAGGCCAGCAGTGCACACAGGGGAGCCAGGGGTGGCGAGGCTGGGAGGGGACCCACTGCTGGACCCAGTGCCCATCCCACTGGTTTATCAGAAGCAACACTTTTTAATACACACTGAGTGTGTGCTGTGTTTAATTTTCCTTCAAACTTGGAAGCCCGTGATTTCTATTCCTCAGGTTGAATTCTGAAGTGCTTCATCTAAGGAAAGCGCTGATTCCATGAACAAAGATGGTAAACGTTCCCACCAAATTCAGCTTTCTCCTTTGCGAGACAGTTTCATGAGATCACGTTTCTGAAGTTTCTGAAGTTTCCCTAGGTCTGTGTGTGCTACACGGATGCGCGCTGTCACCAGCACTGCGCAGCGGCTCTCCTGTTAGCGGGGCTGGTCAGGCACGGTGCTCCGTGGATTTTCCTCTGCAGAGTCCTGACCAGCACGCCCCTGCCTGTCCGCCTCGGGGGACGGGACCTCACGGCTGCACACCAGGCCATCCTCCTTCCATACAGCCCCTGTGGTTGGAGCTTCTCTCTGATGGGTCTGTCTTTCCCTCCTGCTCCATTTCTGGACTTAGGTTTGCTCTCTGGTCTCTAGAGCGACACAGAGGTGCCTCTTGCAAGGAAGGAACAGGTTAGGGCAGGAGCTGCTGCCCCGGAATCCCCCTCCTTTCTCTCATACTGGCATGGGGGTGTCTCTTTTGCTTCCTGGGCTGAGATAACCTGAGGCTTGAGAACAGCCTGGCTTCAAGACAGACTTAAACTAAATCTTTACAAACGTGCCTATTTTCCTGATGGGGACATTTCTATCCAAGAGGAGCTCTGGTCCCATTAACAAAGAAAAATAGGGTGTTTGAGGGAAGCAGAGACCGGGGTCAGTCTCTCACTTGTCCATCAGACGGCCCTTGCATGTCACCCCGTGTGGACTGTCCATCAGACTGGGGTGTCCTTTCTACCCTTATTCTCTGGGGTATCCTTTCTACACCTGCTGCCTGGGGTGTCCTTTCTACACCTGCTGCCTGGGGTGTCCTTTCTACACCTGCTGCCTGGGGTGTCCTTTCTACACCTGCTGCCTGGGGTGTCCTTTCTATACCTGCTGCCTGGGGTGTCCTTTCTACACCTGTTTCCTGGGGTGTCCTTTCTGCACCTGCTCCCTGGGATGTCCTTTCTAATAGAATACTTTTTTTTTTTTTTAAACCAGTACCAGTCTATGGCCTGTTAGGAACTGGGCCTCACAGCAGCAGGTGTGTTAGTGAGCATTTTACCACCTGACCTCTGCCTCCTGTCAGATGAGCAGAAGTATTAGATTCTCCTAGGAGCAGGAACCCTATTGTGAACTGCACTTGTGAGGCTTCTGGGTTGCACACTCCTTATGAGAACCTAATGCCTGAGGATCTCTCACTGTCTCCCATCCCCCCAGACGGGACCGTCTAGCTGCAGGAAAACAAACTGAGGGACCTCACTGATTCTGCTTGGTGGGTTGTATAATTATTTCATTATAGATTGCAATGTAATAATAATAGAAATAAAGTGCACAATAAATGTAACGTGCTTGAATCATCCCCAAACTATCCCCCTGATCCTGTCCGTGGAAAAACTGTCATCCACAAAATCCAGTCGCTGGTACCATAAAGGTTGGGACGGCTGCTGTAGGGGATGCTGACTTCATTTCCAGTCCCCAGAGTGGGTGCTGGTTTGCAGAAGCCAACCAGCCAACAGTGTTCCCTTGACAAGAAGCCAATCAGCCAATGGCGTTCCCTTGACGAGGAGCCAATCAGCCAATGGCGTTCCCTTGACGAGGAGCCAGTCATCCAATGGCGTTCCCTTGACGAGGAGCCAGTCATCCAATGGCGTTCCCTTGACGAGGAGCCAGTCGGCCAATGGCGTTCCCTTGACGAGGAGCCAGTCGGCCAATGGCGTTCCCTTGACGAGGAGCCAGTCGGCCAATGGCGTTCCCTTGACGAGGAGCCAGTCGGCCAATGGCGTTCCCTTGACGAGGAGCCAGTCGGCCAATGGCGTTCCCTTGATGAGGAGCCAGTCGGCCAATGGCGTTTCCTTGACGAGTACTTTGGTCTGATGGGCTCACGACCTAGACTAGCACAGCCAGGCTGACGGGGACGTCCTCAGTGGGTTATGGAGGCCATTTTCTGCCTCCCCTGAACACCGACATGAACGCTTGTTGCTTCCGCAGGCATCTTATGACCGGGAGGGGAGCCACGCCAAGGCACAATCTAGATCTCAAAGCTCAGCAAGGTGGAGTATGGAAATCTTGTTATGGAAAATAATAGTAAAATTCGGTATTGTTTACGGTTGGGTGAGTCAAGAACTTTCTCTTACTTGTAGCCAAAGGCATCCTATCTGATAGATATTTTATACTTTGTGTTTTTGTGTTGCTATTAGGAAAGATATACATTTTTTATTTTAAATTCTAACAGGACGTTGCTGGTATAAACACAAATTTAGATAAATCGACATAAAATGTACAAAAGTCTTGTAAACTGCAGAACAACATGCATATGTGATGACTTTTGAATAAAAAGGAAAAAAATACTTGAAAATGTGTGAAAACAGTTTGAAGATTATATAACATAATATTGGCATTTGTACCTCAGCTTGGGAGGCAGGGATGGGGAGGTTGGAACATGGAAGGGCTGTTATTCTCTTACACACGTCTGTGACACTGAATTCTGGAAAACTTGGAACAATATTTGTAATGTAGATATTATTTAAGAGAGTAACAATGTTGTTAAGGCGGTAAAGGACATGCACCAAGCTACTACCCTGATGATGGAGAACTTTTCTGTAAAATATACTGACCTCACATAGGCACATTAAGAAACGACTGTGAAGAAATGTCATGAGTTTAGATTCAGAGCTTGTGAAGGGTGCAGGGCTTTCCTTTCAGAAATCCTTTTAGGGAAGGAATGAACACGCTGACCGATGCGGGAAAAGTGTTACAATTAGTAAAGAAAAATCAACGCGATCAACACTGTACATATGTAATTCTTCTGGGGATTTAAAATTGTGAGCCGGGTTGGAATACAATCAAAGTCAGGAAATAGTAGAAAAAACTAGCAAAGCAAGCGACACAGAGATAGAAGGTGGAGAAAAGAAATCCATCAGTGCTACTGAATCAAGAAGAACACATTTACAGAGTCTGAAATATGCCAGGGACTGTTCTAGGCACCTTCACACTATTTCGTCTCTGTCACACGCGAGGCTGAGTGTTTCAGCAGAAAGAACGCGACTCTCAAGACAGCAGTTCTTGAAATCTTGCATAGATTCTGCCATTGTGGTTTAGTCTCTAGGTGACTGTGAAAAAGTCACATAGCCCTTCTGAACTTTCATTTACCATTTGTAAAATAAAAGGGAAAAGAAAAGAACTGCATATTAGACAAGTTAAAAAAGTTAAATGATGTACACGCAATGCATCCAGCCTAGTATAGAGTATTAGGCATTTGACTTAATTCATTCACAGATATTACTAAATGTAATATAATTTTATAAGTACTCCACGATGAGTTATAATACTTAATTTACAGTTTGTGTAATGGAGTTTTGGAGAACTATTTTCTCTAATTCATGAAGAGTGAGCGGGTCCATCTAATTTCGAAATGCTTTGTCCTTCCTCTCCAGGACACCATGGGCAGATGTGATAGGAATCAGGTCACTATGTAGGGTGGAGCCCAAGAAATGCCTGCAGGGGGAATTCCTAAAACAGGGGTCCTGAGTGAGGGGTAAACTGGGAATCCAATGCCCTCAGAGGTCCTGCATGACCTTGTCACCCTACACAAGGAAGCATCCCCCCCCGGGTTTCTTTGGGGGCATCCACTTTGCTGAGCTGTGAAGATCCAGCAAGTCAGTCATGGGCAGCATGGCACAGCCCCAGCAGTTCTTCCCAACAATGGTCATCACGGCCCCCAGAGCCCCCTCTACCCAGTCCTGCAGAAATGTGGATGGATGTCTATGCCCACTTACAGTCTCTGCAGGTGTGCCCGCTTGTTAACACCCTCATGGCCTCCATCCCCCATGAAAAGTCTTCATTATCTCAATCCTGGATTATTGAAAACGTTTCCTCTAAAATCCACCTGGGCACACTGCTGCCTGCTGAGTCCTAGCCCAAATCTTAGATCTTCATTCTGCCAAATCAAGCATTAGCCTAATTTTTCAATGCTCCCCACTGGGAATGCCTTCTCTTCTCCACCTGTGCAAGATACCAATGATTTTTAAAAGACACTAACCACTTCCTCTAGGAAAGATGTCCTGACTATTAAAGTCCAACCCCAGCTCTGACCTCATTCCCACCCTACCCCGCACCTTTTTTTTTGAGACAGGGTCTCACTCCGTGGCCCAGGCTGGACTGCAGTGGTGCCATCATAGCTCACTGTAGCCTCGAACTCTTGGACTCCAGAGATCCTCCCCACTAAGCCTCCTGAGTAGCTGGAACTGCAGGCACGAGCTACCATGCCTGGCTAATATTTTATTATTATTTTTTGGAGAGACAGGGCTTCTAGGTTTCTTGGGCTTGGTTGCCCAGACTGGTCTCTAATTCTGAGGCTCAAGGGATCCTCTTGCCTTAGCCTCCTGAAGGGCTAGGATTACAGGCATGAACCACTGTGCCCCCCTTTAGTGGAATAAGGACAGTACTGAACATAAGGAAGGACTATTCAGAAAGAAGTTCTATTTTTTAGGAATCCTAAGTAAACTTTCACCTTCTAGAATGCTTCAGACATTCATTTCACAACATCTAGCTACTAGATGAAATTACTAACCTTTCACCCTTCCTCCAACACTGTAATTCTATGATTGCTGTTATTCAGGATATCTTCTCCTGTAACCTGTCACCTTCCCACAGATGAGTCTGAATGGCCACCGTGACTCTGCTCAGCCAGGCACAGGCCCTGGCGCACTAGAGGACATGGGGCAGTCCCTGCACACACATGTGAATGTAGAATTCTCTCTACTTCTCTGGTATTTACGTTGAAAGCAAAATGATTACTGCTATCATCTAAAGAAAACAAGCAGAAAGTTCACCTTGTCCCAGAAATGCTCTTTCACTTTGCCTTTTAATGACTTGAACTTTCAGTACTGATGGTTTCTAAGTGGTTAAATGCCACTATACATTTGAGTAAGTCCCTGAGATGAGGAATCCTATGTTTAGTAATTTTCCTTGCAGTATATAATGTTCTATAATGGTTAATGAATTGGATGCTTCAAATATAAAGGTTATTTTAAGCATCAGGAATCAACCATAATTCCAATTTAGGATGCCTAATTTGAGGGGAAAATCACAGTGGCCTGGGATAAGTGAGAATAAATGTTGGCATCGGTTTCTATGAACATCTGGGTGTGACTTCATTCTGTGAACGAACAGATCTCCGTGTGCATTAGTACAGGGATGCTTTGTGCTCTGTGATGGCATGCCAAGGAGCCTTGATACATTTTGACACACTGAATGAAAGATAAATAACACATAATATTTTCACATTCAAAGTATATATACATATATATGTATATTTAAATTAAGTAGCCATCTTTGGTTACTAAGTTCACACTCAGCATTCTCCGCGCTCAGCCAGGCGGGAGCCCTGGACTTTGGCGTGAAGTCAGAGCTCCTCTGTGATGCACTGCCTCATTTATCTTCTGTTCCTGTCACTCTTCATTCCTGCAACGTGCATCCTCCCTGAAGGCTCACCCCACTATTTAGGATAATGAGGATCATAATGCATTCTTCCTTATCCCTTCACATGATATACATTCAAATTTGTGATTGATGTATTTGCTGTTGTCAGGAAGAGCAAAGCAATTCAGACACACAAGCTATTTTATATGCACCTTTGGACCATTAAGTTTGAGAGGAAGAACCATTAAAGTGCCTTAAAATATTACAAACATCCAAGTAACGGCACGACATATTATACTCATTTGTAAGGTAGGTGCTGTCTCCTGGAGCAGAGGCTAAAGTGTCATCACTCATCCGGAATCTGAGCACCATGTCAGTGCAGTCCCTGCCTGGAAAGGAATGCACCACCTTTCCTCACATTCAATGTAGAGACACAGACACAAAATCCTCGCCTCCCCTTCCCTTTCACCTTCCACTACCACTCATGTTATCCACGGAGCGCATGACTCCGTGTGAACGATCACTTCCACACAGTGGCTCAGGTGAAAAATTCTCACCTTCAGAAGATTCCTCTTTTCCCCCAATAAATTACTACGTATACCGCAATGCTGTGTCTCAGACACCCGAGCAGGTGTAGGTGACAAGAGTGTGAGTTGCTCACTTACCCCGGTTCTCTGAACTTCCATGAATGTGGCTCTTTGGAAGGACTTCTCCCACACGGCCAGCTCGCTGCCAAGCTCCACGTTGAAAACATGGCTCTTCCCGTGGCCGGCCATGACGCTGAAGCAATAGGGCCTCTGGTCCTCAAAGTCAAAATCTTGAAGACCCAGATACAAGTTTGCTTGCAACCAGCAGTCCTCTGCGAGCCAGAACTGAAAAACAGAGCATGGATTGGAAACGTGCGGCGCTGGAAGGCCATTCCCGGGCTGAGGGCCCTGGCGAGGGGAGAAGGCAGCGTCTGTGTGAGCTGGGAAACGGTCTCCTGGGTGCAGACAAGGAGGCAAATTTGGAGCAATGAGCCTCTCATGCACAGCTGGTCCACAGACAAGTATCTGTAAATAAATTATGTCAAACGCCCGATTCTCTGTAAGTGCCTTTCCCTTAAAATACTGGTCACCACACACTTCCCTGTTTTACTGTGAAGAGAAAGATGAGGCTGGGTGTGGCGGCTCACGCCTGTAATCCCAGCACTTTGGGAGACTGAGGTGGGTGCATTGCTTGAGCCCAGGAGTCTGAGACCAGCCTGGGCAACATGGCAAGACCTTGTCTTTACAAAAATAAATGAATCAATAAAATACAACAGATTAACCAGGTGTGGCAGCACACGCTTGTAGTTCTAGCTATTTGGGAGGCTGAGGTGGTGGGACTGCTTGAGCCCAGAAGCCTGAGGTTACAGAAAGCCAAGATCAAGCCTGAGGTTACAGAAAGCCACTGCACTCCAGCCTGGGTGACAGAGGGAAACTCTGTCTCAAAAAAAAAAAATAAATAAAAGATAAAGATGAAAGTCTTGAGACATTGATGCTTGTGTTTATCATAAAACCAAAAAACACTGGAACCACCACCACTCTCACTAAGCGCGTCCCCTGCGCCTCCGAGTCTCTACAGAATTACTGGCTCCTCCTCTCCCCGCGGGTTCATTGTCCTGAGATTAAGGACCGAGTGTCCAGAACGCCCCTGAAGCACGACCAGGCACCCGACCACCCAGGCGCTCATTCCACCAACCCAAAGGCCTGACAAAGGGAATGATGATGTTTCATTTCTGGTCAATCATTTAACTGGAGATGTAAGTTACTTACAGCACGTCCATTAATCACAGGTTTTACTCTGTGAGCACCAAGGCGACTCCAATGCTACCAGCCTGTGCTGCACGGAGCTGCCTGGAGCGCTCCCCACTTCTTTCCCCCGTCTGCAAGGTTGCACCCCACTTCGAGATTCATTTTCTCAAGGGCAGGGGAGAAAGACTGGGGGTCCCAGTTGTCACAGTTACTAGGTCAACAGCATGGAGGTGCGTGGTGAACGCATACCCAATACCTGGCTGGCACCTCTCTGTTTCTGTCTGTCTCTCTCTCTGTCTCCATTTATCTCACTGTCTGTGTCTCTCTTTGGTCTCTCTCTTTCTCTCTCTCCATTTCTGTTTTTCTGTTATCTCTTTCTATTTTATGTCTGTTTCTCTGTCTCTCTCTATCCCTCTCTCTGTCTCTGTCTGTCTGTCTCTGGACCCATCTCAGTTCTTAGCACACCCATTCATTTACTGGCCATCAGATCCACCCTAAAGAACCCCCACCAGACACCTTCCTGGGACGCTGCACCCCAACATCAATTTCACTGCACCAGTCTCTCCCCAATGAAGGGAAGAAGGGGAGACACCTGGGCTGGGGTTTCCAAAGTCCTGAATGAGAACGTGGTGTTTACCCACAGCCCTGCATATGGCAGCAGAAAGGAAGGGGAGCTGCCCACCTGCTGGGTCTTCCCATCATGATTCTGAGATATCTCCATTCACTTGTGCCAACCAGCTAAGCTGGACACTCCCCACTCACACTTATGCTTAAGGTCCAGTCCCAAAATCCACATGAACTCAGCAGTTGGCCAAACAGTTTTACTTCAAATACGCTGACACATGCACTCCAGGCACAGGTTTGAGGTAAAAGCTACGACTGGTGTGTCTCAGGTGGGCCTCCTGGCCTCTCCGGGGGGATGCCCTGGCTCTCCTGGCCCCTCAGACAGCTCTGCAGGATGACCCTCTGGTCATGGAGAGCATTGTACATTTATCCCTGTGTATCATCCAGACACCAAATGCCTTGTGGTACATGCATGTGAGAACATGTGTGCCTGTATGTGTGCACATGAGAATGTGTGTATGCACACACGAACGTGTGTACGTGTGGAAATGTATGTGCACATGAATGTGTGTGTGCGTGAATGGGTGTGGTATGCATACGTTGCTAACCCTAAATGAGCCTTGAGTACAGAAACTGCACTTTAATTCCGGGGCCCCCTGGATCCTCTCCTTCAGCTGGGATACCTGGAACCTACAGGGTTACACGTCACAAACCAAGAACACCATGTTCATCATTGACCTTATGGTGCAGAATGTATCTCTTTATCCACTGAACTTAAATGTCAAAAAACTGATAAAGAAAAACTTTTGGAAGATATTTATGTGGGAACGCACATTCCCCACTGAATGGCTCATGACAGTTGGGCCTTGAACAATCCAGGAGTTAGGGGCGCCAACTCTCACGCAGTTGAAGATTCACATAGAACTTTTGACTCCTCTAAAACTTAGCTACTAGTAGTCTATTGTTGATCAGGAGCTTTACTAGTAACATGAACAGTCAACACATATTCTGCATGTTATACGTATAATATACTATGTTCTTAGAATAAAATATATTGTTGATCAGGAGCTTCACTACTAACATGAACAGTCAATTAACACATATTCTGCATGTTATATGTATAATATACTATGTTCTTAGAATAAAATATATTGTTGACCAGGAGCTTTACTAGTAACATGAACAGTCTATTAACACATATTCTGCATGTTATACGTATAATATACTATGTTCTTAGAATAAAATATATTGTTGATCAGGAGCTTTACTAGTAACATGAACAGTCAATTAACACATATTCTGCATGTTATACGAATAATATACTATGTTCTTAGAATAAAATGAGTGAAGCCAGGCACAGAGGCTTACACTTGAAATCACAACTGATTGGGAGGCTGACGCGGGGGCGTCACGGGAGCCCAGGAATTTGAGACCAGCCTGGATGACATAGCAAGATCCTATCTCTAAATAAATAAATGAATTAAGCAAGTAAGCTAGAGAATAGAGGATGTTATTGAGAAAATCACAGGGAAGAGAAGATATACTTAGAGCACTGCGCTGTATTTATTGACACCATAAGTTTACATCATCTGTTTATAAGATGAATGGTCTGAAATGGTGGCAACCACAGCTGCAGACCTCAATCTGTGGTGCACAGCAAAAATTTGGTAATGCTGTGACATTCCTGCTTCTTGGAGGCACTTGCATCATCCCTCGTGGCACTTGTGTGGGTCCTGGGGTGTTATTCAAGGTTTACGTTACTGGACTCAACACGAAGGAGGGAAGGTACACAAGAACCCCGAGAGATCACTCGTTACCATGCTCTGCAATTTACTGGAGAGAGAAATTGCTTCCACAGGGATGATTAAGACATTTTACTCAGAAACCCAACACTTGAGCTCACTGCAACAGCAGCAGGAGGTGGCTACAAAAATTATCATCACAGTACACTATGTGCTACAGTTAACCATGGGCAGGAAAGATTTAACGCTGCATCTTTACCTTTGTCTACGTTCTTCTCCACTGCAGATGGTGCCAAATAGATCGCTTTATATTTTACAGGAGTAAATGATGAAATAGACTAGTATCTACATATATTGTATGAATTCACGACATCTCTAACTTTTTCTTAATGTTTTGATATTTCTAAGCTACATGATTTGTCTTAAGAGGTTTTTAAAATTGTTAAATTGTTTTCAAAAAATTTTCCAACATACTTATAGAAAACAATTGGCATCTAAGTGAGCCCATGCAGTTGAAGCTCATGTTGTTCAAAGGTCACTTGTGTTTCTTTCCTATCACTTGCTATATTTGGGCAGCTGTGTATCATAATAGAAGAACATCAGGTTTTGGAGTCAGATAAGATTTGAGGCCTTTCTTCGTCCAGTATTAGCTGTTTGACCTTGAGCGATTCACTCTCTCAGAGCCTCCACTTTTGAGCTGTGAAATGGAATCATGATAAAAATGTTGTCATAACTTCACATGACAGAGCGGCCAGCATGCAGGCTCACATCCCGGATTCACATGAGTTCACCACCTGTTTTCATAAAGAAACACGTCCTAAGGCAATGCCGAGCCAGGCCACACATGTCGATTTGATGTCTGCTTTGCAGCTACTTGGCCTCCTGGCAGGGTCAGCTCCGGCGACATCCAGAACAGCATTTCCAGCCACCCCCACGACTGAAGAAAGCCCACCCCCCACCTAGGACTGCACGACATCATCTTATTATGTTCCCTTTCCTGAAGAAACAAAAAGGGTTGTATTTTAAAATTACATATTTTTTTCTATTTATATTTATTATGAAACAATTATAGCAACAATAAAGGGAATTTAAAACAGAAATTTATTACTGTGTTTTGTCATCTGATTTTTAAAAATATGTCAATAATTACTAATATGCCCTTAATAATAGGACAATAATTATTAATATTCTCTTTCATACAATGTGAATTTGCATATATAATTGTATAAATTTATAATACAATTACTTAAAATATGTTATAAGATTTTAAAATATTTTTCAATGGTCTTTTGATGATTATTCAAATATCATTAATTTAAGGAATATCCTTAAACGTTCTCATGCATACAGCTCTCTGATTCCTCTGACCTCACTATGGTGATGGACTCTTCTTTAGATTCAGTTCTGAGGAGCACGACTGCTTGATCAAGCAAGGGATCGTTTTTCCACTGTTCAGCCTCACAAGAATGTGTTGTAAGTTCTACGTAAGGAAAATTAATGACTCATATATAGCTCATTTCCCCGGATAGTTCCTGTAGCTCCTTTAAAAACAATCACTCAGCCCTTGTGGATTGCAGTGTGTTGATATGACTGGAAACCCTGAGCACTGAAGTCCAAGGTCAGCGGCTTGCCGTCAACAGTCAGTCAGCGACTGGCCAGGCCGTCGGGTTTCCTCGCCTGGACTGAGCCTCCGGGTTTCCTTGCCTGGACTGAGCCTCCGGGTTTCCTTGTCTAGACTGACACTTCCAGTTACCTATTCTGGACTGAGCCTTTGGTTTACCTTGTCTGGACTGAGCCTTCTGGTTACCTTGTCTGGACAGAACATTTGGGTTTCCTTGTCTGGACTGAGCCTTGGCCAGGCTTCTTCTTGCCTCTGGGACCTGGAACTCCCTATCCTTAGAGCATTTGCTTTAGAAAATGTATTATTGTATGTTCTTTCTCTGCCATTTGATACCTAAATCTTTCTAAAAGTCTCTTGCTGGCTGTACAACCCAGGACTGTCTTTCTCAAGGAGCTGAGAGCTGTCCCTTCAAAATGTGATCACTGGGAAGATGGCGTCAACTCCCGTCCCCGTGGAAGGATGGAGCCCAGCCTTGGTGGGCGCCTGGCTCTAAGCTGTGCAACCATCTCCTATCATGAAGATGGGAGCAGCTCTCTGTTTCTTTGCAGGAAGCCAATTAACAGACACTGATGGCCCCGATCTCCTTTCTAGCCCAACTTGTAGAAACCCTCTCATCCTTTGTTTCAGTGGTTGGGTTTAATCTCTCTCTCCTAGCATAATATACTTGAATAAGGCCTTCTTGCCTTCTTCGCCTTTAACTTTGGTGCAATTTTGTCCTGACATGGCTTTAGGAATTCTTCCTTTCAGTGTTGATATTATCCAAACAGGACTACCCTGAAGATCCCTGGAGAACGCGTTCTAGAACTCTTAATGCCCACTCGCGACAGACTCCCGGAACACCACTGCTTCTAGCACGTGGAATAGAGAGGGATTCAGGATGAGCTTTGTAGCCAGGTGAGTCTGGTCCCCATCCCTGCCTCTGCTTGGCTTCTGGAAGGTCCTCGTCCACTTCCTGCTTCTGAGTTCTTAGCTACAAAACAGAGTTCTCCTTAGGTGGGGAGAGAATTAACTCAGGGACATAGCCAAGTGCTTAGCAAGGCTACTAGGGAAGCACTCAATAAAGACAGCTGTCATTACTAAGATCCTCTGCCAAACAGATGACAACATGGACTTTTCCTGAAAATTTTGATGGGGTATCTTTAGGTTGAGAGGACAGACCCACGCATTTCACACAGGACGCTCCATAGCATCCACAGTGCTTTTCTGCTGTGCTGCACGAAAGCTGTTTATCATTTCGCTCACGACTGCAATCAAGGCTGATTGGTGCAATTTTCTCATCTATTTCATGATGAGTGTTGAAATATAGAATATATAATTTTAAGAGCTGGGAAAAGTAATTTTTAGAGCGGAGAGGGTATCAGAGAAAAAACACAATCACAACTTCAGAATTTGATTTCTGGTCTAAATATTAATGAATATACTTTGAAATGGTAATTATGGTTATTTAAAGAATCTACATGAAAAAGTATTAGTTCTTATGATACTCACATATTTATTTACATTTCTGAAAATGAATTGAATGCGTTTACTTTTAAATTTATGTATGCTAAACGATAAACATCCGCAATTGAATGTGTGTAAAAGCAGGCAATACGATTTTGTAAGATCGCTATTTTAACACTTCCAAATAGGACATTCAATTCATGTAATTTAATCTCTTTTTTAAAAATATTGAATGCTATAGATTATTATTATTTACCCCATTTTTAGTTTAATACCTTTGCTATAGCCATTCTACTGGCTAATTTTCATGATTTCATAAACACTTCATATAATATTTATTGGTTAATTTTTTTTTTACAATCTTCCTGGGAAAATGAGATGGCTCCATAGCTTCCTAATGAACCACATATATAAGATACAATAATCTCTCAAAGACACCCCAGTACCTAAAGAACACCTCAGGTGCACGGAAGGGGAATCCTCCGAAACAAGAGGGGGAGGAAATGAAAACGTGTCCATGCAAAGGAAACAAAAAGGCCAAGAATCCTTCTACGAATTCCTCTGTGGAACTGTGATCAATAAACGGCCTGCGTATCATCTACGACCGAGAGGCTCACGTTAACACAAGGCTTCCTTTTTATCATTTTCAAAATGATGCCTTCCTGTCACAGATAACTTAGAAAACAAAATAATTTTTAAAATGAAAGCAACAATAGCTAGAAAAGCCATCACTGAGAGAAAACCACAGTTAATATTTTATTCTATTTTCTTCCATTTTTTAATGAATATGCCTAGCACAGAAATGTTCACTTTCTGATCAGTGATTGTTTATTACAACCTGTAATTAGGAGTCTTAATTTAAATACATCCAGCCCTTTCCTTCATCTCCTTCACTACCATATTCAACAAAAATAGGAACAATGCAGAAAAATGTTGCCCAAATAAATTTTTCAAAAATGGGAAATAAATGTATTTATCATTTGATAATATTATTATGGACATGTATTTCCCTTTTACACGTTTCCATTAAAGGCAGTCTGAAATTCCAGATTTAAATTTAAAACAAAGCAACTACAGATAGAGAATATTATTTTTGAGGACATTTTCAATTTAAGAAAACAAACCAAACTTTGAAAGACAAATCTTTATTCAAAACTTCTAACTTTAGACTGATAACTCTTTAAGGCCAAATTCTCACTGAGTCACATACTAGGACACGGTGGCACCCGGCCACGGTGAGCACATTGCCGCCTGGCTGTGGAGACACCTCTGCGGTCAGGTGGGTGGGGGCCTGGGTAGGGCCCTGCTGCATCTCCAGGCTCCGGGCAGCACCACCAGTGAGGTGTGTCTCCTGGAGGGAGGTTCAGTCCCTACCTACCCTAGGAACCATGAGCAGCAAACTGGCCAGACCCTGGGGCAAATTTGTATCTGACTTGTTGAAAACAATTTCAATAGCAGCAGCAGCAACAGAATCTAAAGTTCTTGGAACAAATTATTGTAAGTGGACGTCCTAAAACACATCTCTCCCCCAAAACACACACAAACACCACATACCACATACACACAGACACACCGTCATCCATTCATCCTGCCTGGATGAGCAACAGGGTGACAGCTAGAACCCATGTACCGGGTAGGAATGGGGGATGGGTCCGGATCATCCATTCCAATTTTGCTATTTCAATGGACCATGCGGAACAAACAGTCCTCTCATTCTGCAAGCCCAAAGGGCATCTTACTGTATGAAAGCATCTAAAGTGCAAAAGATCCCTACCTTGTGAACTTTAAACAGCACCTCACAGAGGTGGTAGGTCCTTTCTGCTCGCACCCAGTCGAATGTGCTCACCTGCAAGAAACAGAAAACGTTCCATGAAAAGCAGCATGCTACTTTTAGTTGAAAATTTTAAAAATTTACAATAGTGTGACTGCATGTGTGTCTACCTCAATTAAATCCTAAGTCCCCATTAGTATAAATTGGTCACAATAAACTTTATGTACTGCTGAGTTTTGATGAGTCGCCACGTCCTCATCTCTGTCAGTTTGTGGCAAATATAATAGCTCCATTACTGACAGGAAAATGTCTATCTCCTTTATCTTATCTTAGATAGATAAGATTGATATCTATGATATCTTGTCTATCACACACAATTGGGCATAATTTTTGAAAATCATTTTGGATTCCTTTTAAATTAGGAATTTCAGGTAACATTTAATGCATGTGAAAGTGAATGAGTTTATATATTTACTGGCGCAGAAAAACGGACAGAAAATATTGCGTAGATGGTCTTTTGCTTTTTAGAAATAAACTTAGTTCTATTTCAGAAGTGAATGAAAAACTTACTAACCAATTTAATCAAATACATTTTTCATTGGTCTGACCTGTTGTAGTTCACAACTATTTTAATAATAATGACTAAACTAATCTCACTTTTGAATAATGCCCTACAGTTTACAATTCAAGTTCAGATATATAAGCTCGAAGTTAAATTATTTCATGCAGAAAAATTTAAGATATTCAAGAGTGAGTGTAAAAAATTTGATGTTTTTTATTGTTGACCCTGCACTTTTTCCTTCAGCCAGCAAAAATAATCCAAAGTGCACTGAATTATGTCTTTGAAACTCTGAAATTGTCTTGGCTTTAATTAATTGGTGACTTTCTGGTAATCCTTGCACCAAACAAAATTCTCAAGACATTTTTAAAGTCATCACAAGTGAAATGTGAAAAATTACACAAATAGTTTGCCATTTAATATTTAATTGCCCTAGAGTCAGCTCATTGCAATTGTGATTTTGGCAATAAAACGGTAAGTAAAGGGAACAATCTGAAAGTGAGAATGGCCAATTAGATAGAATACGAACTTTAAAGTTCCTTTTGGATCTAGTATTCAGGTCATAAGAGCTACATCTTGAATTTGCTAGAGAGAGTTTCAGGTGCTTATTTCAGAGTTTAAAAGCCAGAAACTCCAGCACCCCTTCTCTTGAGAGCTGGGGAGCCATGCTGATGGATGCCTGAAATAAAACATCACCCTGAATTCCACAGCAGTGCCCACTGGTTCCTCAACACTGCACCTGCCTCTCCCTTCCCTCTCCTGGTCCCACCCTGGCCAGTGTTTTATGCTACTGCCTAATGTCACAGCTCAGGTGCTGGTTCTATAACTGGAAAATACAGAATTATGGATCCACCATTTTTAACTTTCCCGGTTAGGACAATGCTGCTTATTTTTGGAGGCTGTAAATATAAAGAGGAAAAAAATCCCACTGAACACCCTATTCAGAGACATCTTCCCAAGTTTACTTGTTGCTGTAAATATACCTTATACATATTCATGGTTTTATACTTTTCAAAATATAGTTTGTAATATCAGCATTTTCCCGTGTCATTAACTGTTATTCAGAAATACAACTGTAACTACTGCTTAGAATTTCCGTGTGGAGTTACGGTTTTCGTAAGCTTTATCTTTGTGACGGACATTGTAGATTGCTTTTAGGTTTCACCATTGTCACGGTGCTGTGATTAATATACGTGGTCACTGTATTAGATTATGTCACATTGAATGTATTTTCCATACTAGTCTGTTATCAACATGTGGCAGAACAGCAGGGATCTGAGTCCTGTTCTAAGACAAAGCTGGAGGAGGCTGTGCTCTTTGCTGTCCGCAGAAGGCAGGTCTAGTCTCTCCCTCCTTCCGCCACATCCATCATCCATTTATTAAGCCCCTTTCTGTTCCTCCCTGTGGCGTCTGCTGTTCTTGCCGTAGTCTTGCCTTCCTCCTACTCTTTTACTCCTCCTGCCAGTGGCCGTGTCTCCCCCGGGGAACCCTTCTCCGCTCCCAGAGCTATGACCTTGCCCCAGCCCAGGGAGGCGAGGCGCAGTCCACACACAATTCAGGCCAGAATTCTCACCGTCTTCGCCACCATGATTGATTCGGGGAAGAGAATGTGCCTGGATCGGAGACACAGGTAAGAAGGTGCTTGGGCTTCCGATGGAACCATTTCTATTGTGGGCTTGAAGAAAATGCTGCCACCCTGAGAGCCGTGGGAAGTCCCCTTGAGCCACGTGGATGTTATGCGTGTGGAAGTATCTACACTAGCTCCTGGCTGTGATAACGCACCACAGGACAAAAGTGTTAGGAACAGGGGAGGTGGGGGAAGTGGGGGAGGTGAGGGGCACAGGCTACTCTTCACCTTCCACTCAGTTTTCTGTAAATCTAAAATCGTCCACAAAACAAGTCTATTAATTAAAAAAAAGAAAAAAAAAGCAGGTCTTTCTCATCATTGTTCTTTCCCTGCTTACCTGAACCTCATGGCTTCTTGAGGACTCAGCTCAGACCCAGCCCTGAGGCCTTTCCTGACAGCCCTGGCAGGTCTCCCTCCCCTCTTCCAAGTCCCAGCGGCCCTGCCATCCGCTCTGCCCTGCTGACCCGCAGCCGAGGTGCCTTCACGTGTGTGATCCTTTCTGCAGGGCACCCTCAGCCCGGCTCCAGCCTTCCACAGATATCCTTCCTCTCCCTACGTGGCTGTGACGTGAACACTTCTCTAATTCAGTGAAAGTGCAGGCACCAGGTTCCTCTCAGTTTCCACCAGAAAAAAATTATCACCAAAAAATTCATCATGTCCTTTAGGGCTCTTCTCACTTTTCATTTCACTAGTTACAGCTCTAGAAAATATCTAGGCTACAACAGTTCAATGCTGAACATGACCATGTAACAGAAGGGGATTATTTAAGATAAAACCATTTCCAAGGTATCCAAGAAGAGCATCTCGTGCGTTGGTTAAGGTTCTGCGTAGCTTGTAGTTCAGATAGGAGGTAGGCTGCTGCAACAGACGTGAAAAAACTTGGCTAAATTGAGCTTAATGTTAGGAAAGCTAGTAAAAGCCCTCTCTGTACACGTATACAAGTGTGTGTGTGTGCGTGTGTGTGTATACAGTCATGCACACATCACAACACTTCAGTCAACAGTGGACTGCATAGACCACGGTGGGCCCATAGGTTCTAATGGAGCACATACAGAAACCCGGTGGATGGAACTTGATACTGGCCTTGCAGATCGACTAGAGGAAGGGAGTCATAGTCAGTAATGGTGCTGGAGCATTTGGTTTTCTATATGTAAACATACATAAATAAAAATATACAGATCATCCAGGTTTCTGTAACTACACCCTATGATGTTTGCACAATGACAAAATTGCCCAACTGTGCATTTTCTGGAATATATACCTGTCCTTAAGCAATGCGTGGCTATACATACATACATGTATTAATACATGTAGAGAGATATATATATATAGCTTCCCGAAAAATCCCGAAATCCAGACTCCACGCCACGGCGCCCAGAAATTCGGACTCCACGCCGCGGCTTCCCGAAATCCAGACTCCATGCCACGGTGCCCTGAAATCCAGACTCCACACCATGCCTTCCTGAAATCCAGACTCCGCACCACGGCTTCCCGAAATCCAGGGCTCCCTACCGCAGTCACCACGGCTTATTTTACACGATTTTCCAGGACCGCGCCTCTTATGTTGAAAGAGGGAAACCCTCTGCTGAGAGGGACCCTCGCAGCGTGGGCCTCTCTGAGGCTGTTTATCAGCCGATTTTCTCTGGGGAGTGAGTTTGCATGTCAGGAGAGAGATCCACTGGCTCTGCCATCGCACTTCTTCCTCGGAGCAGGGACTTAACACCAGGGCAAGGAAACATGAGGTATGCGGATGCCTGGATTTCTCCAGACTCGCACGGAACGAGAGACATAACCAAGCTTTGTGAGACGGTAGACAAGGCGGCTGGTTTTGTAACTACATATCATCACTACGGTTTTCCAAATAATGGCAATTGATAATTTTCTAAGTATCTGGCCCCATTTGGCTTCAAATGGAGCAGAAATTGTAGATTACAAGATGCTCTATCTTGGTACCTTTGACTATTATTTTAGAACAATGAATATGTGTCCCCAGAACAATATAGTTTGCTCCATTTACAAATCTTCATTTGAATGATTTTTTCCAAGTAATATTTTTAATGATAGAATATACCTATGTAACAGATATTCTTAAAATTGCTAATATTTCTTGCATATTGATAGGCAGTTGCTATATCATTGATATATTAATTTCATACAATTCTGTAAAATTGACTTTATAACTTATTTTAACGCATTTTAATGATGTTTGAAAACAGGAATAACTGAAACATCTTTCAGATTCCAATGTACAAATCAGAAATAAATACTCTGGCTAACGAAGGAGAGTAGGGTGTGTGAGAAAGAGTCGAGAGTCCCGGCTTTAATCCTAGCTCTTCCAGCATCTCCTGGTGCGTGGGGAAGACAGAGATCAGGGACCCACCAGAGTGGGTTGGGCCCTCCTTACGGAACAACTGAGCTGTGAAACATGGATCTGCTTTTTCCACTCCAATTCCTCCTTTCCATTCTTCTATCCCGTTTCCCTTCTGCTACGGTTGGAGTCTGTGACTCCGCCCAAATCTCATGTCAAATCATCTTCCTCACTGTTGGAGGTGGAGCCTGGTGGGAGGTGATTGGATCGTGGGGATGGATTTGGTCTTTGGTGCTGTTCTCATAATAGAGTTCTCATGAGATCTGACTGTTGAAAAGTGTGTGGTGGCGTCTTCTCCCTTCCTCTCTACCTCCTTCTCTGGCTATGGTGCTGTTCTCGCGACAGCACTCTCATGAGATCTGATTGTTTAAAAGTGTGGCGTCTCCTCCTGCTCCCTTCCTCCTTCTCTGGCCATGTAAGACACACATACTTCCCCTGTGCCTTCTGCCACGATTGTAAGTTTCCTGAGGCCTCCCCAGACATGCTTCCTGTACAGCCTGTGGAACTGTGGGTCAATTAAA